CCAAGCCTACCAAGAGAGAGCGCTTAGTCAAGCATTATGGGAAGCGTCACGACTCGCATGGGTCCGCAAGCTTGTCGTTGCTCTCACCCTCACCTCTTCTCTAGCATTTTTGTCGGACTCATACAAGCGTGAGGGGAGCTGACTAGTGTGGCGCACATTCACGTCGTTTACAATGCCCACTAGACCATTTCTTATATTCGTATTGTCTGCACATGGTATCTTGTGGTTCGAACCGAAAGGGTTGACACGCCACTCTTGTTGCCCAAACAAACCACTTGGCAGGCCCGTATTCCTCACGACTGGGTGAATGGAGTAAACCTATGGAGCACGCGATCACCGACAAGGAAGTAACCACAATGGAGGGTCGACTACGCCAAGCTTTCGTTTGGTGGGCCTCATGGTGCGAGAGTAGTCTCATCCTGTCGGTCATATCTAATGGATACTGGCTCCCCTGGAAAGCTTTGCCACCACCGTCGTTTCGCGACAAGAACCATGCCGGTGTGGAGCGGCACAACGAGTTCACAAGATCCGCAATTTCGGACTTGCTCTCATCCGGTGCAACAGCAATCGCAGTTGGCCCGAATGCCGTGGTATGTACTAGTCCACTCAACGTCGTGGAGCAACGTGACAAGTGTCGCCTCATCTTGGACTTGAGGAAAGTCAATCAGTACCTTTTCATCCCAAAATTCAAGTACGAAGGCTTGGTTCGAGTCGCCGAGTTGGCACAACCTGGCGACTGGATGTTCTCAATCGACCTGAAGTCTGGATACCACCACATTGATATTCACCCATCCTGCTGGAAGTTCCTCGGTTTTCACTTCGATGGCACGGACTACTACTTCAAGTCGTTACCGTTCGGCCTCGCAACGGCACCCTTCCTTTTCACTCAGTTGATCAAACAACTGGCTCGAAGATGGCGAGCGCAAGGTACCCGAGTCATTCCCTATGTGGATGACATCTTATTTCTCAGCAGTTCGGAGAAGGACGCATGCACGATACGTGAGGCAATCATTCGCGACCTACGACGGTCGGGCCTTGTTATCAACGCAAAAAAATCGCACCTCATTCCGATCCAGAAACTGCGAATTCTGGGGATGGAGTTGGACACTCAATCCGGGAGATTCACCATCCCCCGAACGTCGGGAACAACTCATGCACACGCTACGGGTGCTCCTCACCGCTTTCGAGCGTTGACAACGGATACCAATCCGCCAAGTCGCACGGGTCACCGGCATTCTCGCTTCCATGGCGCTCGCCCTTGGTACAACAGCACACGCATTCAGTCATCAACTCCTAGAGCTCATCAACGCAGCACCATCGTGGAATGCCAGGATACACCTAACCCCAGAGGCTCGCGACGAGCTCGACTTCTGGCTTCAAAACTTCGATCGCTTTAACGGGGCACCGTTTTCACATGCCCCACAGTATCGACTCAGTGATTCACGTCGACGCAAGTGCTCATAGTTGGGGTGCGACCCTAGCTTCCTTCCCAAGTAAAAACCTGCAAGGCAGCAGCCCGATGTCATACGAGCTCCTTACCACTTCAAGCACACGTCGAGAGCTCGAAGGCGTGCTCTGGGCCCTGCGTACATTCTTCGATCAAATTAAGGGCCGCCTTGTGCTTATGCGAGTCGACAACCAAGGCGTATTCTTCATTCTTCGTAAAGGCGGTTCCGGGTTCCCGAGCTCACCCTCCTGTGCAAGTCCATCATCGCTCACTGCATGGCGAACGAAATCCGGCTGGCAATCGAATGGATCCCTCGTGCACTCAACATGGAGGCAGACGCACTTTCCAAGTTGGAAGATAACGACGACTATTCGCTGAAACTCCCTTGGTTCTGGTTGCTGGAGAGGCGTTGGGGACCCCACACCGTCGACCTGTTTGCCAATGCCAATAATGCGCAACTCTCGCGCTTCTTTTCGAAGGTTCCCCACCCACACTCAACGGCCGTCAATGCCTTCTCGCAAGACTGGGGAGCAGAACACGGATTTGCTTTCCCCCCTCCACACCTGATCCCCGCCACCTTGCGTCACGCAAAGCGCACCTCTGCCTCTCTGACGTTAGTCATTCCCGAATGGACGGGAGCGTCATGGTGGCCCTTGCTCCGGCCATCACCAAAGGCTTGGGCATCATGAATAACATCGTGTCTACATCTTGCTAGCGGTAGCCAGTGTCTGCATGTTGGTTCGCACACCGGCGCATTCTCAGGAGCTGGTCTCCCTGTTAGCAGAATCCTCGCACTTCAACTGAAATTCAATCATTGATGTACCGTTCATGTTTTTTCTTTATGATGACAGATCTGATCCCGAAGCTGCATCAACAGCTACTTCTAATGACAGCCCAGACACGGTCCGACTCGACAATCCACACATACGAACCTTACTGGGAGAAGTTTAGGAATTTTTGCGTCAAAGCGAATGTGGCATTTCTTCCCGCTGCGGACCTAACAGTAGCACTCTACCTCGTACATGCGATCAACCACAAGGCGACCGTCTCTAGCGTGCAGCTCACCTGTGCCGCGATCAGCTTCGCCCATAGGATGACAGGCTCCGCCAACCCAACATGGGGCCCTTTCACGACACAAGTGCGTGATCACGCCAAAAGACACTGCCCCCGACCAGCACGGGTGAAGGAACCCGTCTCCCTTCATCAGGTCCACGCGATGGCTAGGCCTTTTCTCCAATCGAGCCAACCGGGCATCTATCAAAAAGGCCTCATCGTACTGCTCATGTACGCTGCATTCCTGCGTTTCTCAGATCTAGTGGCAATCCAATGGGAGGACATCCAATTTGAGGCAACGGCAATGTGGCTTCTGATCCCACACTCGAAGACAGACCAGGAAGGCAAGGGCGTGTGGGTCCCCGTCGCTACGTCGGATGGACCGCTCTGCCCGGTGCGGTGCACCCGCCATTTCATCAGGCTAGCGGAATACGGGCCGACAACCAGAGGGCCGCTGATACGTATCTTCCGCCGCAATGCACCGCCGTCCCCATTAGATAAAGCCCCATCATACCCCACAATCCGTGCATGGTGCATGCAGGCATTCGAAGTCGCAGGAATCGACCCAACACACCTCGGCACCCACTCTTTTCGCAAAGGAGCAGCCACCGTCGCAGCCAGTGCGGGAGTCCCGGATCGCATCTTCAAACGCCTTGGGCGCTGGCGAAGCGAAACAGCAAAGGACCTATACGTGACTATCTCGCATGATCATCTTATTGCAGCATCTCGTAACATTCAGGATCAAGCTCACGCACCGTCCCCCTCACAGCATCATCACGCCATCACGAGGCACCGTCAACCTTCTCTCCACATGTCTCAGAGGACCCTGTTGAAATGAGACGTTGCATTTGCAAGGCAAATCGCAAGCTTTCACAATATGTAAATTTTTTAAAGTGTGTAACACTTTTCAAAATTGTGTATTGTGAATAGCGAAGCGAGTTGTACCGAAGCAAAGGCTTCGGCGAACCGCTACTTCCCCTCTTTTTGGTACAAAAGAGGGGGCGAAGGCCATTTGGCCTTCACCCACGTTTTCATTTCGAACTTTCAATTTCAAGTTTCCCACCCTCCCACCCTAGCATAACGTACATGATAGCTCTGAATGTTGTATGATGCTTGGACGATAAAATCTTGTACTTGCCAGTTGAAATGAGACGTTGCATTTGCAAGGCAAATCGCAAGCTTTCACAAACCTGGACTTTGTGGGCAGTGCGAGGAGGGGTCAGAGAAGATGAAGAGGGGTCACTAAAGGTGCGCGGGTCAAACGGACGGCTGGGATGGGATGGCAGGTCACGAACTAAAGAGTGTGTGGAGTAACTGAAAATCCTCGTGTCACCAATCCTGGTTCCTTGCATATTATTATTCATTATCCATAGAATGAATAAATATTGTTGTTATATTTTTTCTCACCCAGAGGATACCATTTTTCCTTTCGTGCGCCGGGTACTGATTTTCCGGTACCTTCCGGTAACCAGGTTTTACGTTGTGGATTAGCTTTAGAGGTAAAAACTGACCGTATCACTATGTCGGGTAGAAGAGAAGTGGATACACGGTTTTACAAGTAGAAGAGAATGAAAGTTTTATCACTTCGCTCTTCACCGATTTTAGAGAAGGCCAACGGGACGCCGTCCCCATACTTCCCCCTTTACTTTACCCTATCAAGCAATCCCAGTCGATTAGAAGGAGTTTGATCCTATTTTAACTGTCGATAACGGTTTTAGAATTTCTGAAGGGGCGCGGAATAACACTTTATTTCGTTGGGCGATGATTTCAAGAAAAGAAAGTGTAGTTGATGATGAAATTTCGTTAGTGATTAACTTATCAATTCGTACGGGTTAATGGTTAAATTTGTTTTTCTGGTCGTAACCAGTTTAAGGGGTATCCACTCCTAGATGAGCACGTGCTAACCCCTACTTGGGGCTGGCAGAACACGCCTGCACGGGGGTGGGTTTGATCTCAGGACCTCATCTATCGGAAGTGCCTCTTTCTACTGACTAGGCCACTTCGGGATTTTATCAATTCGTACGGGACAGAAGCCTTAGGGTACATTCCGCCCTGCCCTGGACATGTCCCAATCGTACATGTCCCAATCGGGTGTACCGCTCCGAACCGAACTAAACCAGAGAAGCGAAAATTTTGAAACTAGGGTGTAATTCGGTGTAATAAGATGCAGTGCGGTAGAATCGATTGGAACACTTTGATTGGGACGCTGTCCATAGCGGAATGTACCCTTATTAGATTCTAACGAAGTCAGTTTTTTTTAGGTCTGCTCTTTCTACGGACGTACAATTATCAAGCTATCGGATAGAAGATCTGAAAGACTGTCTACTTTAGTGGGGTTATTTGACACTAATTCCACCGCTTTCTTCTGGTTCTACTAAAGTGGTGGCGGACTGTAGAAATTCTTGTTCACTACCAGAATACAGTTTATTTCATATTGATGGGTGAAAATCAAGTACGGTAACTGGCACTGCCACGCAGTAATGGAAGCCTTATGGCACAGTCAGGGCAAAGGCAGCGAGGAGCAACAGTGGTAGTAGCCCTGGTCATCGAATTTGAACCTCTGCGACAGATGCACCTCCCCCAGGCGCACCTCCCCCCACTCCGTGTCCCCATGCTGTGCCACGATGAGGGAGGCATCGAATGGCACTCGAGCATTGCGATGTGGGCTAGGGGGGGGCAGAGCAAGGAGAGGAAAGGTGGGGGGTGGGGGAGTGGGTGGAACAGGACAGGCGAACGAGGCCTGCAGCATGGAAAGTATGAAAGTGTGACTATCTTTTAAGAAATATCAAAAAGGGACACTCTGGTTCCAAGTGATGTGTAGGGCGAGGTAGGTGGACAAGACGGAAGGGGAACTAATCCAGGAAGGTAAAAGCGGAGGACGGAAGATGTGGTGGTGAATTATGATCAGGGATTGGCTGTGTGCTGCATTCACAAAACACACTCGCATAGCTAGCGCGCACACACCAACCTCTCACCTACCTGCCCCCCCAACCCAGATACCCACCTGCACCTAACCAATCTCCCCCACGCTTAATCCTTCCCACACCCACCCAATGTCCCCGCACCCACCCTTTCCTGTGGCTCGTGTTCATGACGGCGGCGTGTAGCTGGTGAGTACCTCTCTACCCACACCTCCCATGCCTAATCGTGCGCACACCCGCACAACCCCCCCCACGCACCCTTTCCTGTGGCTCGTGTTCATGATGGTGGCGTGTAGCTGGTGAGTACCTCTCTACCTACACCTCCCATGCCTAATCGCGCGCACACCCACCCAATCCCCCCCCCACGCACCCTTTCCTGTGGCTCGTGTTCATGATGGTGGCGTGTAGCTGGTGGGAGGGGGGTGGTGTGGTGGAGCAAAGGAGGCGGGGGAATGAAGGAGTTTGGGGAGGGGGAGAGAAGGTCGGGTGGGGGAGGGGGAGAAGAACGGGAAGGAAGAGGAGAGAAAAGAGACAAGAAGAAAACAAGAACAGGATGACAAGAAGAAAAGAGGGTAGTCGACGAGAGAGCGAGACGAGAACAGGATTACTTTGCTCTAGTGACATACTTCTGACATTCTGACCACCTCATTTGAGAGCTCTCAAATCGTCAGTGAGAGGTTTCAAATGAGGTGGATTATTTTTCAAGTCTTCTCAAGAATCACCTGCTTTTCGGAATGATCCAAATGACTGATATACTACAACCCTCCACATGCTGCTACAACCCTCCACATGCTGCTACATCCCTCCACGTGCTGCTACAACCCTCCACATGCTGCTACATCCCTCCACATGCTGCTACAACCCTCCACATGCTGCTACATCCCTCCACATGCTGCTACAACCCTCCACAAGCTGCTACAACCCTCCACATGCTGCTACAACCCTCCGCATGCTGCTACAACCCTCCACAAGCTGCTACAACCCTCCACATGCTGCTACAACCCTCCACATGCTGCTACATCCCTCCACATGCTGCTACAACCCTCCACATGCTGCTACATCCCTCCACATGCTGCTACAACCCTCCACAAGCTGCTACAACCCTCCACATGCTGCTACAACCCTCCACATGCTGCTACATCCTCACATCACTTGCTAGCCCAGCTCACCTTGAGAGGCTGGCGGCAGTCCCTAGGGGTGACGAGCCCTGCCTCCCTGCACGCCTCCCTCAGCACCTCTGGCGGAGAGGGGGGAAAAGAGGCACGGGTGATGGAGAAGTTGGAAGAACATGCCATTGCACGTGCAGGCAGGACTTACTCTGACACACTGGCCCTGCCGCATGACATGGTGATGCAAGCACAGCGGGGCAACGCAAGCATGGCACGGCAACGCAAGCATGGCATGGCAACGCAAGCATGGCACGGCAACGCAAGCATGTCATGGCAACGCAAGCATGGCATGGTCACACAAGCATGGCACGGCAACGCAATCATGGCACGGCAACGCAAGCATGGCATGGCAACGCAAGCATGGCATGGCAACGCAAGCATGGCACGGCAACGCAAGCATGGCACGGCAACGCAAGCATGGCACGGCAACGCAAGCATGGCATGGCAACGCAAGCATGGCACGGCAACGCAAACATGTCATGGCAACGCAAGCATGGCATGGCAACGCAAGCATGCCCTGGCAACGCAAGCATGACCTGGCAACGCAAGCATAGCATGGCAACGCAAGCATGGCATCGCAACACAAGCATGGCATGGCAACGCAAGCATGGCACGGCAACGCAAGCATGGCATGGCAACGCAAGCATGGCACGGCAACGCAAGAATGGCACGGCAACGCAAGCATGGCACGGCAACGCAAGCATGGCACGGCAACGCAAGCATGACACGGCAACGCAAGCATGGCATGGCAACGCAAGCATGGCACGGCAACGCAAGCATGGCATGGCAACGCAAGCATGGCATGGCATGGCATGGCATAGCATGGCATGGCATGGCATGGCATGGCATGGCATAGCATGGCATGGCATGGCATGGCATGGCATGGCATATCTTGGCACGGCATGGCATAGCTTGGCATGGCATGACATGGCACGGCATGACATGGCATGTCATCTCACCACAGACGGCAGGCAGGCGGGTCCCCCCATCCACCTCCTCCATGTCCGCATACAGCACATGCGCCTTGGACGGATGCCCCCTCATGCACCTCTGCAGCCAGGGGAGAGTTGGGTGTCAGGGGTAAGAACGAGCACGTGAGGAGGCAGCTTGTTCCCCCCATCCACCTCCTCCTTGCGCACATGCGCCCTGGAAGGATGCCCCCTCATACACCTCTGCACAGTTTGGGTGTCAGGGGTGGGTCAAGGGTGTAAGGAGAGGAATGGGTTGGGAGGGAGGCACATGTGCCTTGAATGCCACAACTCCCACCCCACTCGTCCATGTCGCAAGATGAGAGGCTCACCAGTCAGCACAGAGCCCGAGACCCCATCAGACGACTTTCTTGAGCCTCAAACAAGCAGCAGGAGGCTGGGTAAGAAAGGCAGAGAGCATGAGAAGTACATGGACAACAACTCACGATGCCAACGACTTAAGAGGCGCCTCATAGGTGCAGCAAGAGGCTGGGCAAGGACGGCAGGGAACGTGAAAGTTACACCGCGAACAACTCACAAGGCCAACGAGGCGAATGACAAGAGGTGCATCGCCCAGCACTTCTTGCACTCTCGGCATGACCGCCTGGTAATGGACATGTGGGGCAGGCAGGCACAGTGGGACTTTCTTGAGTCGACTCAAAAATCGACTCATCACACGAATGAAAAAGGCGTGTCGCCCAGCACCTCTTGCACTCTCGGCATGGCCGCCTGGTCAAGGACGTGGGGCGGGCAGGTACAGTGATAAGGTGCAAAAGGACATGGAATCAGCACAATCTATGTTAAACGTTCATGTCATGTCAGGTGTTCGTCACTGATGTGATGAGTCGAAAACGGAAACCAGACGTGCATGGGATGTGATGTGGATCTAAATTGGGACATCCAGCTTAGATGTGGATGCGGTGGCATGCGTGGCGATGGGTCATGGGGTACTGGCACAGAAGGAAATGACTCGTTCCTCCCTCCTCACCGCTCACCTGCAGGGCGTTGGCAGCTGCTTGCACGCGGAGGGGTGACCAGAGCTTGAGCATTTGAACGGTGAGGTGGAAGGTGGCTGGGTTGATGAAGATGGACGGGTGCACTCCCCCTGGTGGGGTGTGGCGTGGGGTGGGGAAGGGGGGAGGAGAGGAGAAGCGGGATGGGATGGTGGGGCGCGGAAGCGGGGTGACTTGTGAGGCGCGGAGCGGAAGGATGGCCAGCTGCGATGAGTGTGGCGACCAGGGCTTGAGCATCTGCACGGTGCGGTGGAAGGTGGCTGGCTTGATGAAGATGGACGGGTGCACTCCCCCTGGTGGGGTGTGGCGTGGGGGGAGGGGTTGGGGGGAGAAATGGGGGGGAGGAGGGTGGAGAGGGATGATGGTGATGGGGGAAAGGGCGTGCGGTGGCTGGGCTGATGAAGAGAGGACGGGTGAATGCTACCTACCTAGTGGGCCGTGCCATGGGGAGGGGGTGTGGTTTGGCTGTTGATGGTGAGACATTGATGGTCAGGGACACTAGGAATGGCCAACAGGAGGAATCAATGTTGACTCAAATATCACTGACAGAAAAGATTAGAGCAGATGATGACTCCATGTTGTTGAATGAATGTACCGCGCCTGGCCTGGTATTCAATCAGCCATGCCTCCCTCGAGTGCGATATGGAGTTGGAAAACGCTGACTGTACATCGCATGGAAGATTCACAACAGAAGCACCAATCTCTCATTCCCTCACTCATTCACTCACTCACTCACTCAGTCATTTACTCACTCACTCATTCACTCACTCACTCACTCACTCACTCACTCACACTCATTCACTCACTCACTCACTCACTCACCATACTTGTCCATCACTCCCGTCCCTCTCTGACCGCCTGGCTGCTGCTCCCACGGCTTCTCCTCTCCCCTCTCCCCTCTTTGCATTGCACCTGGTACCCTCTCCCCTTCCCCACGCTCCCCTCCTTGAGCACACACAGAAGACTCGCCACCAGCAGTTGTTGCAGCAGAGGCATCACCAGCTGCAACACCCACTGCTGCAGACGAAGGATCAGCACCGACAGGGTCAGCAGCAGCAGCGGCGGCGGCGGCAGCGGCGGCATCGTCACAGCGCACTCTCTTCCCTCCTACTCTCATGCCTCCTCCTATGCCCTCCTCGCCTCCACTCTTATCCGCCTTCCCTTCCCCTTTCTCCTCTTCCTCCCCGCAGTCTTCTTTCTCTTCCCTCCCCCCAACTGCTGCTCTACGATCAGCGTGCTTCACGTCTTCTCCCACTACCCCGCCCTCTTCCCCCTCCTCCCTTCCTGCGTCAACAGCAGCAGCACCACCAACGACAACACCAGCACCACCAGAAGCACCGTCAGAATTAGCAGTGTTACCAGCAATAGCAGCAGCAGGAGCAGCAGCAGCAACAGCAGCAGCTGGCATCATCAGCACCAGCAGTGCTACCAGAATAAGCAGTCTCAGGTGGCGCTGTGAGCTCCTCCTCCTCCTGAGTCAACGGAAAGCCCACCGAGTGCAGCACGGAGGAGCGGAAGTCATGCAGGCGAGCCACCAACGGGCGGTGCGAGGCGAGGGGGAGGGAGAGGAAGTGCGAGTAGCCCACTGCTGGGCTGTCGATGGCCTGTCAGAGGAGGGGGAGAGAGGGGAGGGAGAAGGTACGAGAGGGAACGGCGGTGAAAGAGGGGTTGTCTGCAGGGAGAGAGAGGAAGTGCGAGTAGCCCACTGCCGGGCTGTCGATGGCGTGCCCAAAAGGGGGGAAGAGACGGGTGAGAGAGGAGGTGAGAGCATACTTATGTTTATGTTCGGTGAATACAGGACCGTTTTGAGAGATGGGGCTGCAAGTCAACACTATCTTCACCTTGCAACTGCAGGGGTGTGAATGGGCTGCCGAGGGGCAGGGCACAAGACATGGGTGGGAGAGGTGGGGGGTTGTCGATGGCAGCCCATTTTCAGATATGCGATGCTGGGCTATCACCAAACATGCACTATCGCCTGAACTCATCGTAGCAGTAATTAGGTCTCGACTCTCACATCTTGCATATCCCCTAAACCACCTCGCCTTTCACTGTGAACCAACCTCACCTGGCCTATCACAACACGTTTTGCCTGAGCTCACCTGCGCGAGCACAGAAGCAAGAAGGTCCACTGCTGCTGTTGCTGCTTCGTCACTCGAACCAGATATCTCTGAGGCACCAGCGAGCAGGGAGGGAAGAGCAGGACGGAAAGGAGAGGAAACGAGGCTAGAAACAGGGGGAGCGCAACGGAATGGTGCCATTGACTGGATTGCAATGGTACAGTGAACGAGGGGCAGCCAGCCTGCAGCATTGGGCCATTCAGAGCGCTAGTCAACGCTCTACATTGTAGTCTGGGGCCCCTAGGTTACGTACGGCCCCTAGGTTATGGCCCCCCCTAGGTTACGGCCCTTAGGTTATGGCCCCTAGGTTACGGCCCCTAGGTTATGGCCCCTAGGTTATGGCCCCTAGGTTACGGCCCCTAGATTATGGCCCCTAGGTTACGGCCCCTAGGTTACGGCCCCTAGGTTACGGCCCCTAGATTACGGCAACTAGGTTACGGCCCCTAGGTTACGGCCCCTAGGTTACGGCCCCTAGGTTACGGCCCCTAGGTTACGGCCCCTAGGTTACGGCCCCTAGGTTACGGCCCCTAGGTTACGGCCCCTAGGTTACGGCCCCTAGGTTACGGCCCCTAGGTTACGGCCCCTAGGTTACGGCCCCTAGGTTACGGCCCCTAGGTTACGGCCCCTAGGTTACGGCCCCTAGGTTACGGCCCCTAGGTTACGGCCCCTAGGTTACGGCCCCTAGGTTACGGCCCCTAGGTTACGGCCCCTAGGTTACGGCCCCTAGGTTACGGCCCCTAGGTTACGGCCCCTAGGTTACGGCCCCTAGGTTACGGCCCCTAGGTTACGGCCCCTAGGTTACGGCCCCTAGGTTACGGCCCCTAGGTTACGGCCCCTAGGTTACGGCCCCTAGGTTACGGCCCCTAGGTTACGGCCCCTAGGTTACGGCCCCTAGGTTACGGCCCCTAGGTTACGGCCCCTAGGTTACGGCCCCTAGGTTACGGCCCCTAGGTTACGGCCCCTAGGTTACGGCCCCTAGGTTACGGCCCCTAGGTTACGGCCCCTAGGTTACGGCCCCTAGGTTACGGCCCCTAGGTTACGGCCCCTAGGTTACGGCCCCTAGGTTACGGCCCCTAGGTTACGGCCCCTAGGTTACGGCCCCTAGGTTACGGCCCCTAGGTTACGGCCCCTAGGTTACGGCCCCTAGGTTACGGCCCCTAGGTTACGGCCCCTAGGTTACGGCCCCTAGGTTACGGCCCCTAGGTTACGGCCCCTAGGTTACGGCTCCTAGGTTACGGCCCCTAGGTTACGGCCCCTAGGTTACGGCCCCTAGGTTACGGCCCCTAGGTTACGGCCCCTAGGTTACGGCCCCTAGGTTACGGCCCCTAGGTTACGGCCCCTAGGTTACGGCCCCTAGGTTACGGCCCCTAGGTTACGGCCCCTAGGTTACGGCCCCTAGGTTACGGCCCCTAGGTTACGGCCCTAGGTTACGGCCCCTAGGTTACGGCCCCTAGGTTACGGCCCCTAGGTTACGGCCCCTAGGTTACGGCCCCTAGGTTACGGCCCCTAGGTTACGGCCCCTAGGTTACGGCCCCTAGGTTACGGCCCCTAGGTTACGGCCCCTAGGTTACGGCCCCTAGGTTACGGCCCCTAGGTTACGGCCCCTAGGTTACGGCCCCTAGGTTACGGCCCCTAGGTTACGGCCCCTAGGTTACGGCCCCTAGGTTACGGCCCCTAGGTTACGGCCCCTAGGTTACGGCCCCTAGGTTACGGCCCCTAGGTTACGGCCCCTAGGTTACGGCCCCTAGGTTACGGCCCATAGATGTTGAGGCGCCTGAAGAATCAGCCTGTACCACTCACTCCCTGCATGATACTCCAGTTGGCGCCCCCATATTGCGTTCAGCTTAAACCCTAAACCATTGTTCGCACGAACCAACCATAGCATGGAAAGGCAGGGCAGGCATGGGCATGTCATGGCCTAGCATGGGAAGGCACAGACAGCAGGCATGGGGATGTCATGGCATGGCAGTACCGAAGACAGCATGGGGGTGAATCCTCTTGTTGAAGTGTGTGGGTGCCTTCACCACACAAGATGTCGCCTGGGCTATGCTGCTCAGGCTGCTGCACGGTGTAAGGCAAACAGAGGCAGAGCAGTGAGAGGATGGAATGAGTGCATGGAGTATATGCCAGCAGTGGACTGGGGGAGGGAATGGATGGGGAGTGCGTCCATTGCAAGAATCGCTTCACTTCACCTTCACTGCAACAGCTGATGCAAGGGCAGGTGATGGCAGCAGCATGGCAATGGGCAACGCGGCGGTGTAGAGCGGTCAAGAGGGGGGGATGGCAGGGGCGGCGGCAGTGAGCTGCCTTGCAGGGATGCGCATGTGAGTGTGCAGTCGGCGTAGACGCACGTACAATAAGGAGGAGGGGCGGTAAAGGAGGATGTCAGGAAGAGCGGGTGGGTACGACGAAGCATGCATCTTACTCGTTGCGTGAGAACAAGCCAGCCAGTGCTCCGTCAACCTGGGTGGCATGGCATGGCATGGCATGGCAGGCATGGCATGGCATGACAGGCATGGCATGGCATGACAGGACGTGGCATGGCATGACAGGACGTGGCATGGCACGGGATGGTGGATGGTAAGCCAGAAAAACACAAAGAGGAAAGTAAGAACTTCAGTCCATGGCGTTGAGCCGTGGTGGCCACAGCTGGTGGCTACTGCGGCTGTTGAACCGGTAGGCTGTAGCCACCAGTACTGGCGGCCATGGTACACCGCACACAACTCCTTGCGAAGCACTCTTTACCTCCTCACTGCGTGCGCACCTGCACTTGCATCACAGTCGTCCCGTCGCTCTTCACTTCCTTTACAATCACACTCGGTGTGCCATACAGCCGCTCCACCTCCCCTGCTGTCATCTGCACACCCCCTCCTGAACCCCCTCCCCCTCTTCCCCTTCCCCTACCTCCCCCTCCCCTTCCTCCTCTCCCTCCCCCTCCTCCCCACCGTTTCCCCCTTCGATATCCTCCTTCTCCCCCCATTCCTCCGCCCTCTCCCCCTCGCTCCCCTCCTTCCCATGCCTCCAATCTCTCCCCCTCCCCCTCTCCCCCGCCCCCATCGCCATTCCTCCGCCAAGTGTTCCACTTTCCGCCCCTCCCCCTCCCACTCCACCTCCCGCTTCCATTCCCCCTCCCGCTCCCCTTCCCCCTCCCCGGCCAGGCACCAGTTTCCGCGCCAATAGGTTCAGAGATTCTCGTTCCGCCACCCCCGCTTCCACCCTCTCCGCCACCCCCTCCGCCGGGCCTCCGCTCTCTCCGTGCATTGCCGCCATCTCCGCCGCCACTTTCCGCCATCGCCGTGTCCCTCGCTGGCGAAGCAGAAGCCATTGCTAGGCGCTTTTCGCACAGAGTGGTAATTTCGCCCGGCCGAAAGGTGACGAACTTCTGGCGAAATTCAGATTCCCGACGAAAAGGAAAAGTAGGGCTAAATTCACGAGCTCGCAGCGTTTTCGCAGTCGTCGATCGAGCTGCGTCGATAAAAAATACCGTACAATCGCCTTTCTCGCGGGTAATCGTGTCGTCGATGATTGGTCTAAAGGTCAACCGTTTCCGACGACTTCGAGTCGCGACGCGCGCAAGTGAGGGAAATTCCAGAGGATATGCGATCGTCGCGAAAGGGGCATGGCGGTGCGACACTAGGCGACGAAGGGATGACGTGGCGGTCGCCAGACTAGCGTCCCAAAGAGGAAAAATCTTGTTATGTCGGAGCGCGAACAAAATATGTGGGTAGTCCGTGGGGCGTGAAAAGGGTTGTCCTGCTTGGCGCGCTTCGAGCCAGTTCTTCGAAATTCGAGTTTTACGTGGATGATGCGAAGCTGGAATATTGACGCGGTAGGGTTCAGTTTGGTGAGAAGTGGTGAAAACTGGTGGAAATAACTTAACGTTCCCTTTCAAATGTAAACAAGCTTCCTTTCAAATGTCGAATTTGAGTTCCCTCCTTTGACCTCATACCATACGCGATACACGTCTGACAGGTGGTCTCACTGGTACCCCAAGCGAGTTTCGTCTAGTGCGGTTGAGCGAGCTTCGTGGACGTTCTTGCACGGCCTGCCTGAGCGATGAACGGTTTATTACGGTCCTTCGAGAATCAACCTTATTCCAGAAATTACATGAAGCTCTTCTCAACCAGCTAACTGGCTAACCTAGCCGGTCGCCAAGCGGATCAGCAAAGAGAATTCAATCGCCGCGCTAGTTCGCCCGCGGACTTTCGGCCAGTGGTAGTGACCGTTTGAGGGGGTTTAATTCTCAAAAAGCTTTTCAGGTGGCCATAGAAAAACCGCCATGCCGTCCGACGGCCGAACTGCGAGCTGACCGTTTGAGGCGGCAGAAGGAAATCAACATGAACTTTCCCACTGTTATCCGCATGTTGACCGACTGAGGGGACTGGTTTCTTTTCCGCCATGCCGGGCGGGCGCGCCGTCCGCGTGCTGAACGTGGCGGAGAAGCCGTCCGTCGCGCGCGCCGTGGCGGAGATCCTCGCGCGGTACGGTGGCGGCGGAGTGAGGTCGCGCGAGGGGCGGTCCGTGTACAACCGCATCTTCGAATTCACGTGAGCGACGGGCTACGCAGGAAGCGACGCCATGCCATTCCCCATCCCCATCCCCAATCCTCATCCCCATGCCATTCGGCTTTCCCATGAACAACTAGGATATGCGCGTTATAAGCCGCCAGATGAACAAGCAGCCGTGAGAAAACCTTCAGCCGCCAGTCACCACTGCATGGGTTTTTCCTTCAAGGGCTCAAAAACCGCCTGAATTTGCGCTCATTTCCGGTCAAAGCACAACTGCCTTTCTCCATCAAGTGTGATGTGATGGACTTGTCATGGGATAGATCTCAAATAGTCCCGTGGAGTGGGTTGATCGGATATGGCTGGTTCAATGTCAACATATCTGGGCAAGTGTGATCTCATCCACAAATACTTGATTATTAGATTGAACCAGCTATGGGACTTGTCATTTCGCCAATGCTGGAACGTCACTCTCCCCCCTCCCCCTGGTGTCTCCCCCTCCCCTCTCCCCCTCCTGTCTCCCCTCGTGTCTCCCCCTCCCCCTCCTGTCTCCCCCTCCCCCCTCCCTCTCCCCCCTTCCCCTCCTGTCTCCACCTCCCCCCTCCTCGTCCTGTCTCTCCCCCTCCTGTCTCTCCCCCCGTCAGCTACACGATGAGCAACCAGGCATGTGACATGGTGACGACGTCAGTGGCGCGATGCTGCTATGCACTCATCTAGTCATGTGCTCCCTCTTCCTGCCTCTCTCCCCTCATCAACTACACAATGAGCAACCAGCCGTGCGATGTCAGTGACTCGATGCTGCTAAGTGCTTATCGACTCATGTGCCTCTCCCTCCCTCTCCCTGCCTTTTGAGTCGACTCAAAAGTCACCTCTCTCCCCCCATCAGCTACACGATGAACGGGCAGCTGCGCGGCATGGCGAGGCATCTGATGGAGATGGACTTTCATGATAGATCCTCCCCTCCAACCCTCCTCCCTCCCCCTCCCCCTCCTCATACCTCTCCTGTCTCTCCCCCCATGCGCCAGCTACATGATGAACGGGCAGCCATGCGACATGGCGATGACGTCAGTGACGGGGCATCTGATGGAGATGGACTTTCAGGACCCCTTCAGGAAGTGGCATGCCTGTGACCCCCTGCAGCTCTTTGACGCGCCCGTGCACAAGGCCATCCCGCAGGTGGGAGGGTTGGGTTGTGGGCTGTTCGTTGTGAATTCCTGGTATGACTTGTATGAGAATCTCCTCCCCTTCAGGAAGTGGCACGCCTGCGAACCGCTCAGCTCTTTGAAGCGCCTGTCCCGTCCACAAGGCCATCCCGCAGGTGGGAGGGTTGGGTTGGCTGTTTGTTACTTCCAGGCATGGATGGTATGGATAATGGGACCCTTCTTTGGGAGTTGCACACCTGTGACCCCCTGCAGCTCTTTGACGCGCCTGTGCACAAGGCCATCTCGCAGGTGGGAGGGTTGGGTTGGCTGTTTGTTACTTCCAGGCATGGATGGTATGGATAATGGGACCCTTCTTTGGGAGCTGCACACCTGTGACCCCCTGCAGCTCTTTGACGTGCCTGTGCACAAGGCCATCCCGCAGGTGGGATGGGAGGGTCTGGCTGGCTAACATGTTAACCCCAGGGATGGATGATATGGAATGCCCCTTTCAGGAAGTGCCACACCTGCTACTCCCTGCAGCTGCCTGTCTACAAGGCCATATCGCAGGTGGGAGGTACAAGGACGTACCATTCCAGGTGGGAGGGTGTAACGCTGTATAACCTCAGGTGGGAGGGTATAAGGCCATACATTCTAGGTGGGAGGGTACAGACGGCTGTATATATTCTAGATGTGGTTTTATTGTAATCTAGATGTGGTTTTATTGTAATCCAGATGTGGTTTCATTGTGCGTAGAACCGCTTGATATTTTTTTCCATGTGCAAAGCTACATTGAAGGTGACGCACGAGTGTTAATGCTGCTCACCATTTCGCCCGCTGTCTCAAACCCTGGAGAAGCCTTCAGATGACTAGATTTTGGTGGAAAGTCAGCACGTGCGAGCTTGGTCTTACAGGCGAGATTTTCAGCAGAAAGGACCAGCAACGTCGATAGCCACACATAAACCCTAAACCTTATTACCTAACAACAACGCTGTTGGTCCTTTCTGCGAAACATCTCGCCTGGCAGGACCAAGCTCGCACATGTTGACGTTTGCACCAACTGAACTCTTCTCCAACGTTTGAGATGTCGGGCGAAATGGTGAGCAGCATTAACAACCGTGCGTCGCCTTCAATGTAGCTCTGCACATGGAAGAAGATCAAACGGTTTTACGTACAATGAAACCCCATCTTGACTGCATGCGGCCACTTCTGTGCGTGCATGTGTTTCTGTGCGTGCATGTGTTTCTGTGCGTGCATGTGCTGCTAATGCACACACGTGCTGCTAGTGGAACTGTTTGGTTCCAACATATCAACAAGCACCAAGCCCCAAGGCTTCAAGGCCCATTCCTGGAGAACCATCTTACCCCTTTTTTCTTACCCATCTTCTCATCCTTATGTGCCCTCCCCACATCTCCGCATCTCCTCCCTGACTGCTTTGCAGGAGAAGGCAGCAGTGGATGTGTTGCTTTGTCTTCCTAGTTCCCATCATCACCTGCCATCCCCCTCCACCACCCCCCCGTTCATCTGTAGGACAAGGCTGCACTGGAGGTGACGTTGAGGGAGGAGGCGAGGCGCAGCGACCAGCTGGTGTTGTGGCTGGACTGCGACAGGGAGGGCGAGAACATCGCCTACGAGGTCATGCAGGTGGGTCATGCAGGTGGGCCTTGTCCTTCGTACCTTGTGCCTTGTCGTCCGTTGTGCTTGCTCACTTCTCTCCCCATTTGAGGCGCAGCGACCAGCTGGTGTTGTGGCTGGACTGTGACCGAGACGGCGAGAACATCACCTACGAGGTCATGCAGGTGGGCCTTGTTCCCTGCCGCTGTGCCTTTCCCAACTATCTTGCTCTTTTCTGGGCGAATTTGAGGCGCCTCAAAGGCCAGACGGGTGGCAAAATTGCCTACGAAGTCAGTCACGCAGGTGTGCTCTGCTCTGCCTTGTGCCGTGCCTGTCTATCTTGATCTTGGTGGCGATATCATGTCTTTGTGATTCGTCTTACTTATTATCTTCTTCTTTTCTTGTTCTCTTCACCTCTCAGCCTCTTAGAATGGTTTGCCTGCAAGTAAAGTTTTTTGCGATTTCTAGAAAGTGACCACAACCAATTCAGTGGTTTGCATGAGTGCAGGTGTGCTTGTCTGCTAATTCGCGCCTGGCTGTCTTTCGAGCGCACTTCTCAGCCCTTGTTGACAGGTGCACGCACTTCTCACTCGAGCCTCTTTCCTCATTCGTAGCTCGTGAAGGCTTGTATGCTTCATTCCTATGACAAACGGTTGTGGGGAAGAGACCACAATCTTTGTGCTTGTTGCTAAGAGTCAAGCTGCATGAATACAAAGACGTTTACAAGTCAACAACACAGTGCCCTTCTCAAGCCAAGACTGTCTGCTTGTTCTGCAGAGGTCCCAGCTCATTCGTTGTTCCATGGCACGTCACCGTGTTTCACTCTTGTTGCTGTTTCAACCAACCCTCTTCTGCCACGTGGCACCCCGCTGTCCAATCAGAGACATCCATCATGCGGCTCAGAACTTGGGCCGCCCCAATTCCAACTTCGCAGACGCTGTTGACGCTCGGCAGGTAGTGGATGGATGGGCGGCATGTGTTGGCAGGTAGTGGATGGATGGGCGGCATGTGTTGGCAGGTAGTGGATGGATGGGCGGCATGTGTTGGCAGGTAGTGGATGGATGGGCGGCATGTGTTGGCAGGTAGTGGATGGATGGGCGGCATGTGTTGGCAGGTAGTGGATGGATGGGCGGCATGTGTTGGCAGGTAGTTGTTGGTGGGCGGCACCTGGTGGCCCGGTGTTGCGGGCATGGACGGATGTGCAAGGCTAGTTGTCAAGAGGGAAGGAGTATGGCCGGGAGTGGGGAATAATAAGGCATCAGGAAGCATTATTTGTTCACCTACCCTAGTCCGTCTTATCTTGTATCTTCCCTTCTCCGTTGTATCCTTTTTTGCTCTCAACAGCACTGTCCCACCTCCCCCCTCCCTTCTTCTCCCTTCAACTACTGTATACACTCACCACACACTCACCCACCCACAAACACTCACTCACTCACTCACACACACCCATCCCCTTCAGGAGATAGATCTGCGCATAGGGGCGTCCTTCACGCGCTTCCAGACGATGCTGCTGCAGAACCGCTTCGACCTGCCCTCGCCCTCCGCCGACCGCAAGCCAGTCATCAGCTATGGGCCCTGCCAGGTGGGACATGGGCAGGAGTGAGGGATCTGGGTGTTGCTAGATGGTTTTGTGTTGTGCTGCCTGGCCTGCCTTTGCCCTCTGCCGACCGCAAGCCTGTCATCAGCTACGGACCCTGCCAGGTGGGGCCTGGGCAGGTGGGCCCTGGGCAGGTGGGGCCTGGGCAGGTTGGTAGTTAGTTTTAATCAGCCGATCCGTCTGTTGACCACGAGTGTGCTTAGCAGCAGTCACGGGGACCATGCGTCATGAGGTTGGCTGCAAGAAAACTCGGCGTTGCTATGCTCACCAATCCCCCCTGACTTGCCACCCTCCTGTTCTCCATGCTCGGCTTTGCCGAGGAGTGCTATTGGGACGTGTTGGCACACGTGGAAGAGCCTTTTCCTTCTCGTCAACCTCTCCTCTCCCCTTCCCTCTCCCCTCCTCCCTCTTCTTCTTGTCAGTTCCCCACGCTGGGCTTGGTGGTGGAACGTTATTGGGGCATACTGCCGCACGTGGAGGAGCACAAACCCTAAACCCTCGCTCTTCATCGTCCCTTCCCGCCTGGCCTCCAGTTCCCCACGCTGGGCTTCGTGGTGGAGCGCTATTGGGACATACTGGCTCGCATGGACAAGCCCTTCTCACTTCTCCTCATTCTTTCTGCCGCTTGCCTGTCTTTCTCCCTCCATTCCTCCTCCCCCCTCTTCCGTCCGCAGTTCCCCACGCTGGGCTTCGTGGTGGAGCGCTATTGGGACATACTGGCACACGTGGAGGAGCCGTTTTGGGCCATTCACTGCAGATACGTGCAGCAGTCGCCGCCCCCCGCCACCTCCGCTGAATTCTCCTGGCAGTAAGCCCGCCTCCTCACATAGATCCGGTCTATGCTATGCTAGGGACTTTCCTCGTGGGGTCCTTGCTGTCGTAGGGTAGAGCATCACTCATCCCTCCTCTCTTTCTCTGCAGTACCTCGTCCCACCCATCCCCATCCGATGACCACCACCTCTTCCCCTCACCTCCCAACGCTCTGTGTGGTTGTTCTGCCAGGAGGGGTCGTCTGTTCGACCACCATATCGCTGCCACACTCTTTGAGATGTGCCTCGACAACCCCGTTGCCACTGTCAGTGAACATTGCTTTCAGTCTGTCCTCTGCCCCTGTTCCACTATAAACCCATCCATCCACCGCATCCTCACCGCATCCTCACCGCATCCTCATCGCATCAAAGGTGCCTATGATCCTTTCACCGCACACATCCTCCTCTTCATATCGGCCACTCAGCTCCTCTGCGCCTGTTTTGCATCCTGCCATCCGTCAGTCCCCCCACTGCGGCGGCCCCACATGCCCCCCTCTCCGTAACCTGTCAATTTCCTTCGATCACATGCACCTTACCCATCCCTCCTCCTCTGTGCCCATGTCTTGGGCATCTCAGGGCCTCAGGCAGAATGTGGCACTTGTTATTCTTACAGCTCCCATCGTCCTTTCCTGCATCCTTCACTGTCCATGTAGCGTGTTTTACCCACGTCCCCTCCCTCCAATGGCAGGTGATAGATGTGGCAGGCAGTGAGCTGCGCAAGTTCCCACCGCCGCTTTCCTCTCCCCATTTCCTGCACGCATGCCTGTCTGTCCCCTTATCTTTTCCATCCCCCGCCACCCATTCTCTCCTCCCCCAACGGCAGGTGACGGATGTGGCAGGCAGTGAGCGGCGCAAGTTCCCATCCCCTCTACCCATTTCCTGCATTCCTATCTGTCCCCTTATCTTTTCCATCCACCCACCCCCCACCCCCCACCCCACCTCCACGCTCAATGTCAGGTGATGGATGTTTCAGGCAGTGAGCGGCGCAAGTTCCCACCCTTCCCACTCAACACAGTGGAGCTGCAGAAGCGAGCGTCGAGGTTCCTGCACATGGCATCAGAGCACACCATGAAGGTGAATGCTGCGCATGGCATCAGAGCACAGCATGAAGGTGAATGCTGCGCATGGCATCAGAGCACACCATGAAGGTGAATGCTGCGCATGGCATCAGAGCACACCATGAAGGTGAATGCTGCGCATGGCATCAGAGCACACCATGAAGGTGAATGCTGCGCATGGCATCAGAGCACACCATGAAGGTGAATGCTGCGCATGGCATCAGAGCACACCATGAAGGTGAATGCTGCGCATGGCATCAGAGCACACCATGAAGGTGAATGCTGCGCATGGCATCAGAGCACACCATGAAGGTGAATGCTGCGCATGGCATCAGAGCACAGCATGAAGGTGAATGCTGCGCATGGCATCAGAGCACACCATGAAGGTGAATGCTGCGCATGGCATCAGAGCACACCATGAAGGTGAATGCTGCGCATGGCATCAGAGCACACCATGAAGGTGAATGCTGCGCATGGCATCAGAGCACACCATGAAGGTGAATGCTGCGCATGGCATCAGAGCACAGCATGAAGGTGAATGCTGCGCATGGCATCAGAGCACACCATGAAGGTGAATGCTGCGCATGGCATCAGAGCACACCATGAAGGTGAATGCTGCGCATGGCATCAGAGCACACCATGAAGGTGAATGCTGCGCATGGCATCAGAGCACACCATGAAGGTGAATGCTGCGCATGGCATCAGAGCACACCATGAAGGTGAATGCTGCGCATGGCATCAGAGCACACCATGAAGGTGAATGCTGTGCATGGCATCAGAGCACACCATGAAGGTGAATGCTGCGCATGGCATCAGAGCACACCATGAAGGTGAATGCTGCGCATGGCATCAGAGGACACCATGAAGGTGAATGCTGCGCATGGCACCAGAGCACACCATGAAGGTGAATGCTGCGCATGGCATCAGAGCACACCATGAAGGTGAATGCTGCGCATGGCATCAGAGCACACCATGAAGGTGAATGCTGCGCATGGCATCAGAGCACACCATGAAGGTGAATGCTGCGCATGGCATCAGAGCACACCATGAAGGTGAATGCTCGTTGCATGTCCCGTGGATTTATGGACGTGACCTTTCAAAGCGATACTCCTGCTTTCTTTCCCTCCTCCCATTTCACCTTTGACTCCTTTTCCCCATTCCACCTACCCGTCGCCTATATTCCATCTACCTACATAGTAGATAGGTGCTATTTAACAGCAGCAGTAGAAAGGTATATATAACAGCAGCAGCGATCCACACAAACTCATTTCTTGTAAGAACATTCCATCCTTTCTGTTGCCGCGACGCCATGCAGATCGCAGAGGAGCTGTACCAGCAAAGTGACTTTTGAGTCGACTCAAAAGTCACCTCTTTTCCATCTCCCCTAATGCCTCGCAGATAGCAGAGGAGCTGTACCAGCAGGGCTTCATGAGCTACCCTCGCACCGAGACCGACAGCTTTCCCCCCTCCATGGACCTCCGGGTACGTGCATTCAACCGGGCGCATCTGATATAAACCAGCACAAAGAGTCTGTTTTAGATTTCCAACTTGAGTCCATCGATTGCTGGTTGATTCGAGACAGTCTTCCTATTATTCCGTTCACGTCCGGGTGAGCATCGACACATCACTGGCTCAACACATCACTGGCTCGACCTTCGACTAGACGCGAGCATTACCTGCCCCCCACCCCCCACTTGACAGATGTTCCCTCCCATCCCGTCCCCCATCTCCTCACCCCTCCGTCAGTCCCTGGTATCAGAGCAGGCCAGCAACAGCGCGTGGGGCGAGTACGCACAAAGGTTGCTGGACCCGGCGGCCAATCTGTGGAGGACACCTGGCAGCGGCGGGCACGATGACAAGGCGCACCCCCCCATCCACCCCACCAGGGCCTCCCCACATGGCGAGCCCAACTGGAGCCCGGATCACAAGGTAGGTGTGGTGTGGTGTGGTGTGGTGTGGTGTGGTGTGGTGTGGTGTGGTGATGTACGCACTGCATGCCCTGACAGCCTCAAGGTGCACCCCCCCATCAACCCCACCAGGGCCCAACTGGAGCCCGGATCACAAGGTAGGTGTGGTGTGGTGTGGTGTGGTGTGGTGTGGTGCGGTGTGGTGTGGTGTGGTGTGATAATGTACGCCTAGCATCCTGCACGCCCTGCTTTGACAGCCACAACCAACCTCAAGGCACACCCCCCATCCACCCAACCCAATGAAGGCATCAGCTCAGCGCATGGCGAGGCCTACTGGAGGGCGGACCACAAGGTAAGGGTGGTTTGGAACCAGCACAGAATAGCAAATGTTTTAGAGCCATTAGGTGCACCACCCCCCCAATTCACCCACGTTCCGACTACAGACCTGCAGCAGTGATGGTACGGCGTCGTTTGCAGCATCAGACTCAGGCAGCTGCTACCAACATTTTCTGGCAGCTGCTACCAACATTTTCTGGCAGCTGCTACCAACATTTTCTGGCATGATGTTGAGACGTATAAGAATCTTTCCTTCCCAACCTCTGTCTGCTCCGATTCCCCTCCTCTCCTCTCAAACATTGTTGCTCCTCGTACCAATGCGTGGCAGGGAAAGGGACGTTGTGGCAGACAACGTTCTCCCACACAGCAACACCACAATGTCCCTCATCCCTATATTTGTATGACTTTCTCACCTTCTCCCTCCCTCACCCCCACTCAGCGGCCGTATGAGTTGGTGTGTGTCATTTCCTGGCAAACAGTATCGCAGCCCGCACAACTGCCTCCCCCGTTTCCCTCGCCCCTCTCCCCGCCAACCCCCCCCCCTCTCCCTTCCTCCCCCCCCCCCTCAACCTCCTCTCAGCGCCTGTGCGAGTTGGTGGTGCGCCAATTCATGACAATGGTGTAACGGCCAGCAGCGCCCTCACACTCCATTCCCCATTCCACACCCCGTCCTCCCCCTCCCCTCCGCCCAGCGCCTGAACGAGCTCGTGGTGCACTACTTCCTGGTGACGGTATCGCAGCCAGCAGCACCCTCACAGCACCGCCTCGCTCCCCATTCCCCATTCCCCATTCCCCACCCCCCTACCTCCCTCCCTTCCTCTCAGCGTCTGTACGAGCTAGTGGTGCGGCACTTCCTGGCGACGGTATCGCAGCCAGCGGTGGGCTTTGAGACGATCGTGACCGTTGATATCGCAGGGGAGGCCTTCAGTGCAAGGGGACTCATGATCACCGCGGTGAGCTGCCTTTGACGCTGAAAAGACACTTTCAGAGGCACTAAAGTCGGTCGTGTTTCAGGCTGGGATCGGGGCACACAGCTTTTAGTCTGAAAGCCCAAATTCTGCCCTTTACTGCAACTCCTGCCCTTGCATGGCTTCATAGATGCTTGCACTACCATTGGGGCACCCCCCCCACTCATTTGATCCCTTGTTCCACCTGCGCTGCGATCCCAATTTCTGTCAAACTCCCCCACCTCCTGCGCTCCCTCCCACCCTCCCGTCCCATTCAAACCACCCCCCAGCGCAACTACCTGGACGTCTTCCGCTACGACTCCTCGGGCGCACACACGCTAATTCGGTCCCTTGTTCCTTTTCCCTCCTCCTCCCCATCCCCCCCTCCCCCCCCCCCCCCCCCCCCCCCCCCCTCCCTCCTTCCCCAGGGCAACTACCTGTACGTGTGCTGCTACGACTCCTGGGGCGCACACACACGCAAGTCGAACGCCGAGGCGACGTATAATGCCCGGGGCACATGCAATTCAAGTCAAGTGCTGAGTCACCCCTCTGTTTCGATCCCCTATTCCTTGTTAACTCCCCTCCCCTCTCCCTCCACGACCCCCCAGTGCAACTACATGGACGTCTACTGCTACGACTAATGGGGCGCACAGACAAGCAAGTGATGCATCGTCACATAGTGCCCAGACCACACGCATTCATAACCCTTAACCATAAACCCTAAGCCCTTGCCCTCATCCCCCCCCAGCGCAACTACCTGGACGTGTACCGCTACGACTCCTGGGGCGCACACACGCTGCCGGCCTTCCAGACCGGCCAGCAGTTCACCCCCACGGACCTCGAGCTCAGGTCCGGACGCACCGAGCCTCCACCGCTGCTCTCCGAAGCTGACCTGCTGGGGCTGATGGACAAGGTGGGTGGGTGGGTGTTGTGGGGCGAGTGGGCGGGCGGGTAGGCGGGTGGGCGGGCGGGTGGGTGGGTGGGCTGATGGGTGGGGTGGGAGGGTGGGTGGGTAGACAGACCATAGCAGCACCCTTGGGCCACCGACGTGAGCAGTACCCCCACCCGCCTCCAACCATGGCAGGCAGGCATCGGAACGGACGCCACGATGCACGACCACACCGAGAAGCTGCTGCGGTGTGTACTCCTGTTCCATGATCCATCCACCAGCCATGTGTGCAAGTGCAACACCTCACCAACCCCATGGCAGGCGGGCATTGGAACGGACGCCACGATGCATGACCACACCGAGAAGCTGCTGCGGTGTGTACTCCTGTTCCATGATCCATCCACCAGCCGCAAGTGCAACACCTCACCAACCCCATGGCAGGCGGGCATTGGAACGGACGCCACGATGCACGACCACACCGAGAAGCTGCTGCGGTGTGTACTCCTGTTCCATGATCCATCCACCAGCCATGTGTGCAAGTGCAACACCTCACCAACCCCATGGCAGGCGGGCATTGGAACGGACGCCACGATGCACGACCACACCGAGAAGCTGCTGCGGTGTGTACTCCTGTTCCATGATCCATCCACCAGCCGCAAGTGCAACACCTCACCAACCCCATGGCAGGCGGGCATTGGAACGGACGCCACGATGCACGACCACACCGAGAAGCTGCTGCGGTGTGTACTCCTGTTCCATGATCCATCCACCAGCCATGTGTGCAAGTGCAACACCTCACCAACCCCATGGCAGGCGGGCATTGGAACGGACGCCACGATGCACGACCACACCGAGAAGCTGCTGCGGTGTGTACTCCTGTTCCATGATCCATCCACCAGCCATGTGTGCAAGTGCAACACCTCACCAACCCCATGGCAGGCGGGCATTGGAACGGACGCCACGATGCACGACCACACCGAGAAGCTGCTGTGGTGTGTACCTGTACCTGCAACACCACCCATCCCCGCTCCCCCCCTCCTCATGCAGGCGGGCATCGGAACGGACGCCACGATGCACGACCACATTAAGAAGCTGCTGGACCGTTGCTATGCCACCAAGGACGCCAACATCCGCTTCAAGCCCACGCCCCTTGTGAGTTGACGCAAGAGTTGGCATGAAGTAACTCCTGCTTTCGAGAGTCGACTCACGAGCCACGACCATCGCATGGGAGACTGCTGCTACGCCAACGCCGCTCGTGAGCTGGTGCTAGTGATGAGAGCCCTAACGTACCCCTTTGTGCAGGGCGAAGCACTCAAATAGGAGCCCGACAAATTGACTTTTGAGGCGCCTCAAAAGTACTATTGTTCTGTTGCTGATCTGCCCTTTTGTGCAGGGTGAAGCACTCAAATAGGTGCCCAACAATTTGGTGCTCAAGCCCCAAAAGCTTTGGGAGCCTCACCTTGATGCAAATCCTATATTTGTGTCATGATGATTGATACAGGGCGAGGCACTGGTACTGGGGTACGACAACATGGGGTACGAGCTGTGGAAGCCGCACCTGAGAGCACTGATGGAGAGGGACATGCGGCTGGTCAGTGAGGGGCGCAAGAGCAAGGCGCAGGTGCTGGCAGACACTCTCCGGGCCACCAAGGCCGCCTTCATGGATGTGAGTGTGCCTATAGTGCCTGTTATGATCGTTTGTAGTTTTTGCTCTGCTGGGGTGAGTGTTTGGGGACATGCGGCTGGTCAGTGAGGGGCGCAAGAGCAAAGCTCAGGTGCTGGCAGACACTCTCCGAGCCAGCAAAGCAGCGCTCATGGACGTTAGTGAGTGTGCTCATAACGTGGATTCTTCATGTACGGGGTGCATGAATGTCGCAGCGTATGCTTTTTTGAGAATTCTCAAAAAACATACGCTGCAACTTAAATTCTTCATGTACTGGGTACATGAATGTCTGTCTGGTAAGATGCCTTGGGCAGAGTGATTTCTCAAATCTCAATGACCGAACCAGGTGTGTGGAAGGCATGAGATCATTGGACATTGGCATGACAAGTACTTTGATCAACATCAAACGGCCAGTCACTATTCCGTGTATCTGCACATATCAAATGTGTTAACCTGTGCTTCCTTACTCGGTGGTTGCCGCCGTATATAACCCGCGTTGACATTGGCTTTTGCATTTTGAAAACACCTTCACACAGTGCTGCCTTCTTCTCCCAGCTCTTTGTCACGTTCCAATGCACCTTTCCATCACAATAGCCCCTGCGCCCTCGTTCTTCCCCACCTCACTTCGCCTCCTGATGCCCTTTACTCTGTTCGCTTCGTCCTCTTTAATTCACAAACATCTCTGCTGTTCCCGCTGCTGTAAATGTCCCCAAATGGTTTCCCTGCAGGCGAGGGAGCAGCAGCAGAAGCTGATTGATGCGTTGGCTCTCTTCTTTGATAGGTGAGCCTCAACTCAACCAGAGTTTATTTATGGGGTGCCTCAAGAGTCCATTTCGACGGGTGAGCCTCGATTCAATCTTACTAGAGCGTGTCATTATGCAGATCAGCTGCTCGCATGTTTTTTGAGACTCTTGAGGCACTTGGTCTTGCAAGTAAGCCAATGCTTGTTACTATGCTGCACAGTCTCCTGTACTGCCACTTGCTTGCTTGATTGAGTTGTGGCGGTTCTCTCTCTCACTCGTACCATATTACCACCCCTTGGTTTCTGCACCTCTGCAGAACCAATCCAGCAGCAGATGGAGGGGGGGGACAGGGCGGAGGAGGGGGAGGAGGGGGCGGAGGAGGGGGAGGGGGAGGGGGGCAGGTGGTGGGGGCAATGGGGCCATGCCCCAAGTGCCGCACTTCCCACCTCGTGTTGAAACAACGACCGGTGAGTGAGTCGGTGTTCAAGTACCTTTGAGTCGACTCAAGTGCCACCTCGTCTTCAAGCAGCGACCAGTAAGTGAGTGAGTGAGGGGGGCAGGCGGTGGGGGCCATGGGGCCGTGCCCCAAGTGCCGCACTTCCCGCCTGGTGCTCAAGCAGCGACCGGTGAGTTGCTTTTTGAGGGGCAAAAAGAATGAAGCATCCAACTACTCGTTTTTTAAAGAACCTTTGCAATATGGTAGTGCCGTGACTCTGGTCTTCTGCTCGAGCACTCCCCCTCGCTACCCACATTCCATCCCCTGTCTTCCACGTTTTGAGCTTACTGTAAGACCAGCCATGCGCATGTCTTTCTGTGCGTGTGTGAATTCAAGATTTTTGCTTTCTCTCTTTCTCTCCCTGCTTCACATACCAGCTTTCTCCCCTCCTTCCATTCTATTGCCATCTCGCATTCCCCTCCTCCTCCATTCTCCTCCCATGCTCCTCCCGTGTTCCCGTTTACAATCAGGGCGGCAGCTTCATGGCTGGATGCTCCGGCTTCCCACTTGTGAGCTCCCACTTACCCCGCTTGCCTCTGTTCTCCGCTTGAGGTGACCTCTCGAGTTGACCTCTCTGTATGTGTCCGTAGGCTGGTGACGTATGCACCTCAGTGCATGGCGATGGATGGTCAGATCTGTGCATGGGTGGGTGGATGGGCGGCATATTGAATGATTTCTTCGTCATGCAAGCAAGTGAGGGAGGCTTTCTCTCTTTACTTTCAGGTTCTTCTGGCTAGTTCTTGTCGGGAAATTCGGTTTCATTTTGCTACAATCTCTCCAAAAAGAAAAGCTTCTTTTCTTATTCGCCAGCTCGCTCTGACAACCTCCTCCCCCTTATCTCGTTGTTCCCCAACGTACCCCTCTCTCCTACTTCTACCCCCCTCACTCCCACTCCAACTCTACCTTCTTCACTCCCATCTCTACACCCTTCACACCCGCCTTTACCCTCCCCACTCCTTCGCACAGTGTTGAGAGGTGGTATGGGTGTCGTCTGTTATGGTGGAGGTGGTTTCTGAGTTTACTTTAAATCACCCCACCTCTACCCCCCACTCCCACCACCATACCTTCTCCTCCACCCTCCACGTCCCCCATTCCCCCGCACAGTGCAGAGAGGCCGTGTGGATGCCGTCTGCTCTGTTGGAGGCCACTCTTGCTGACTCACACTGCCCCAACTGCCGCCCAGGTAGTGCTGCCAAAAACTGCCGCCCAGGTAGTGCTGCCAAAAACTGCCGCCCAGGTAGTGCTGCCAAAAACTGCCACTCCATTGCAGCTCAAAAAGGCCTTTCCATCATCCTCGTCCCTCACTCCTCCATCGCTCCTCACCTCTCCCTCTCGAGGTCCCCTCTAATGCCTTTTATCTGTGCTTCCACTGGCTTTCCGTACAAGCACTTCTCTGCGCACTCTGCCTTACACAGGCGTTCCTGACTAACTTTCTTCAAGCAAAATCTGTGCGCATTCCCGCAGGCCCCCTCTCGTGCCTCAACCTGCGTTTCCGTCGCTCTGAGATCCCGCCCCAGTTTGACCCCGTGCAGCAAGCAGGTGAGGCAGGTGGTTTGACGGAGGTGCTGTGAGGGGGGTGCTGTGAAGGAGGTGGTGTGAGGAGGTGGTGTGGGGGAGATTCACATCTCTGCAGGTGAACAATTGATTTCTCATATTCTGGATCTTCGGGGCAAGTCTAACCTCATGCAAACATGATCACCCAGAATTTCCAACTCATGGATTGGAGATCCCAGCCAAATTCATTGGGACTGCCTTCCAATGCTATCCAACCTCCTCGTGCTGTGCTTTAAAGCCCCTCGACCGTAGTGATCAACTTAATTCTTCGCGTATGAACGTGTTCATTGCTCTTACCCCCCCTCTGTATCACCCCACCCGCCATCCCCTTTACAGTGTGCATCATTTGCAACCAAGACTTCAAGGACCTTCTAGAAGCTTGCGGTTCATCCCGCCCCTCCGTCGCCTCTCAACCGCGCCCTCCCCCTCCCCCATCATCCCATGCACCACCATTCGCCAGTGCTCGTCCCTCCTCTGCTCCCCCATCATCACATGCACCGCCATTCGCAAGTACTCGTTCCTCCTCCGCTCCTCCCTTCCGAAACCCCCCCACCACCTCTGCATCAGCACCACCACCACGGGCAGCCCGTGGCTCGGGCCGAGCCTCGGGTGCAGGCTTGGGGAGAGGGACTCAGGGCCGAGGTTCGGCAGCAGGTGGAACCACCAGGTCCGGCCGAACCAACGCCCAGGGTCAGCAGAGGGGTGGAAGGGGGAGGCTGGGAAGTGTGGGGGCACAGAGGGGAGGGGGCGGCAGAGCAAGGGGGGGTGGGGGCGGGAGAAGCAGCAGCAGAGCGGGGCAAGGGGGAGGGAGGCGTGTGGTTGGGGCGACTGGTGAGAACATGGGTTTTGTTCGGTCTAGTGAGGTGACTCATGGTGCTGGTGTTGGTGGTGGAGATGGTGGTGGGGTTGGGGGAGCTGGAAATGCTGGGTGTTTTACCTGTGGTGATCCATTTCACTGGTCGCATGAGTGTCCCCTCGACCAATAAGATGCTCTGTGAAGTACTTGCATCAATTTCAAGTGTAAATAATGCCATATATGATTCTCTGGCTGGCTCCATTGCAAGCCGTGTTGCATTTCCTTAGCTGTAATTCGCAACAGTGGGTTCCCACCACCTCGTTCCTTCAACAGCAAAGGAATCCGCAAAGGAATCCGCAAGGAACCTCGGCAAAGGAACCCAGACCACTGACGCCAGTGGTCCTTTGCTGTAATTCGCAGCAGTGGACTCAAACGAAGGGTCAGTGACAACAGTGGCTAGGAGACGCGTGACAGTAGGGCTGGCAGCACGAACCAGGTCAGACTCAGGGTCCGGAACGTGCGGAAGAGAGGACTCAGGAGGAGACGGCAGAGGAACACGCTGTGGAACAGAGGAAGGACGAAGTGTCATAGTGTGAGTGCCAGGGACAGGAGGAGGACGCGGACGAGGAACACGGCTACAAGTGCGACGAGCGCAAACAGGCGAGGCTCACGGCGGTCTGTAAGCGAGTCTGTCTTCTCAGTGTAAGGAAAAGGAGCAGGCAGTGGGGAGCCTGGCTGTAACGGGAGGCCAGTAGAAGACGGAAGGCTAAGAACCTGGCGAAGCACGGAGTCGGGTGTTGGCAGAGACGACGGTGACGGCGGAGCGAAGAACAGTCGCAGTTGTGTAGTACCACCAGCACCAGCACCTCCAACACGAGGGTCAGCAGCTCCAGCGCCTCCAAAAGCTCCAGAACCTCCAGCGCCAGCGCCTCTAGGTCTAGCGCCTCCAGCTCCAGTACCTCCAGCTCCAGCGCCTCCAGCTCCAGCACCTCCAGCTCCAGTACCTCCAGCTCCAGCGCCTCCAGCTCCAGCGCCTCCAGCGCCAGCGCCTCCAGCTCCAGAGCCCGCAGCACCACCAGCTCCGGCAGCTCCAGCACCTCCAGTACGAGCACCTCCGGGACCAGCAGTGCCAGTACCACCAGCACCTCCAGCACCAGCAGCACCACCAGCTCTGGCAGCTCCAGTACCTCCAGTACGAGCACCTCCAGGACCAGCAGCTCCAGCTCCAGGGCCGCCAGCCCCAGCGTCTCCAGCCGCGATGCCTCCAGCTCCTGCAGCGCCACTCCAAAGGCGGAGCTGCTGAGCGTACCACCGCGCGACGACTGTGATGAGAGAGCACCTCCAGTACCTCCAGTACGAGCACCTCCGGGACTAGCAGTGCCAGCACCACCAGCACCACCAGTACTGGCAGCACCACCAGCTCCGGCAGCTCCAGTACCTCCAGTACGAGCACCTCCAGGACTAATTGCTCTAGCTCCTCAGTACCTCCAGCACCTCCAACAGTACCTCCAGCACCTCCACGACTAGCAGCTCCAGGGCCTCCAGCTCCAGCAGCGCCACTCCGAAGGCGGAGCTGCTAAACGTACCACTAGCGCGGCAAGAGAGGCTCCCGGAGTGGAGAAGCTGTACCCCTACGCCCAGCACCCCCAGACTCAGCAACACCAGGCTCCGCACCCGCGAGCTCAGCACCCCCAGGCTCTTCACGCTCAGGCTCAACACCCCCAGGCTCCACACGCTCAGGCTCAGCACCCGCAGGCTCAGCACCCCCAGGCTCCGCACGCTCAGGCTCAGCACCCCCAGGCTCCGCACGCTCAGGCTCAGCACCCCCAGGCTCCACACCCCCAGGCTCAGCACCCCCAGGCCCGCACACTCCGGCTCAGCACCCACAAGCTCAGTACGCTTAGTAGCACCAGAGTCACCAGTGACCTCGACAGGCTCAACCAAGGGGGTCTACCTGAGACACACCTGAAGGAGCAGGACCCTGAGGGGGGAGGGGGTCTACCGGAGGGGGACCTGGAGCAAGGAAGAGTGGCGCGGGGGGGAGAAGGGGCAGTGCGGTAGGGGAAGAGACGGTAAAAGGGAACCGACTCGTCAAACGTGACGTCTTGAGAGGGGAAGACATGGCGCGAGGTGGGGTGGTAAAACTGTCAGCCAGGCGCGTCAGGGACAAAGCCAAGGAAGATACAGGGAATGGCGTGGGAGGAGAGCTTGTCCGCGGAGATATTGCGGACAAAGGCACGAGAGCCCTAGACCCTAAACACCGACGCATCGCCAACCTTCCCCGTCCAACGCAGTGTAGGCGAGGTCTCCGGCAAGGAGACACGGGGCCAGAGGTTGAGCTGATGCGCAAACGTACCGGACCGCAAATGGCCACAGAAAATGGGGAGCAGCCGCATGGATCATGGAGGTATGAGCGACCTTCAAGACTAAGCCAATGCGGCGCTCAGCAACCCCATTTTGCGCTCAACGTGAACGACTAGAGAATGCCCTCCCCACGACAGAAGTCACGCAAGAGGTTAGAGGAAAACTAACCGCCTTTGTCAGAGTGCAGACGCAGGACAGGGAGGTCCGTCTGGAACCGCTCGCGGAGCTGGAGACGAACAGTGCGGATCCAAGGGATCAGAACACCATGGACCTCCTCCTTGCTGCACAAGGGGAAGACCGTGGTGTAACGCGAATAGTCGTCGACAACCAGCAGAAAGTACCGCTCGCGGCCCTGTCCCTGGACGCGGGTTCGGCCCCACACGTCCATGTGGAGAGTCTGCAGGGGAGCCTCTATCGGGGGAAAAGAGGAGGAGTGAGGAGCGGCGCGCTGCCGCCCCTCGACGCAAGGAAGGCAGGGCGGGGCAGGCGACCACGGGAGGGGGGGCAGAGACCCGGGGCAGAGACACGGGAGGGGGGGCAGAGACAAGGAGGCGGGAGTGCATGCTACGGAGGCGTGGCAGGGAGGGGTGACCAAGACGGTGGTGCCAGAGGACAGTCTGGTGTGAGAGGTGGCGACACGAGCAGGGGGCTGCTACCTGACCTGACGCGGACACCTGACCAGACGCAGCTACTCGGGGAGGCTCAGTAGTCAGTGTGTACAGGCTCGACCCAGGCTGACGGGTGAACGTGGCCAGGTGACGGCCCGTCCGTGCACACGTGCAGATCGCCACACGCTGTCCTCCAGGGGTAAAGGTATCAACCCAAGCATCCTGAAGGACAGCGGTAGTCACCAAGTTTGTAGAGAACGAGGGGAGGTGAAGACCTGTCAGTGAGCCAGACGGAACCGCCGGACACGGAAGAACAGTGGAGGAACGTGCAAGGACTGGGCCCCCTGAGGGGTCAGCCAGAGAGACTGCAACAGGTGCAGGGAGTGGTGTGACTGTAGTGCTGTCGCGAAAGAAGCAACGGGAAGCACCTGAGTCAAGGGTGAAGGTGTGCAAGGCCTCAGCGGGTGCAGTACCAAAGAGAGCAGACTCACTAGCACCTAGAGCAGCAGCCGCTATACCAGGGTCAGGGGGCACACACAGGTAACAGTCACCCTCAGTACTACCAGTCAGAGCATACATGGCAGTAAGGATAGTGTCATAGTCTAGAGCAAAGATATCCACCTTGTTGCGCAGCAGCTCTAGCCAGGGGGGGAGCTCAGCCTCGTCGCCAAACACTGCACGCCAGGCGTCGCTCAGACAGGCGAAGCAGCGAGCCTGTGTGTGACCAACTGTCCCACAAGTCTGACCAGCCCGATCACCTGTGCGAATGACGTACGTTTACGGGCAGTGCTCTTAAACCCTCCACTCTGAGCGTACCACTCACGAAGCTGCTGGCGCGTAAGGGTCTCGCTCGGACACCACTGCAGCTGCATCTGGCCACCGCCAGAAACTCCGCACTGACCAGCTCCACCGCGACTGCCACGACTTCCGCCGCCAGCACACCACCTGGCATACCACTCATGAAGCTACTGGGGCGTAAGGGTCTCGCGCGGACGCCGCTGCAGCTGCATCTGGCCACCGCCAGAAACTCCCCACCGAACAGCTCCACAGCGACTGCTACTACGGCCGCCACCACTCCCACTGCTGCCACCACCGCCGTCACCACTCCCACCGCTACTACGAAGTGAAGTCATAGCGGGCAAGCAAGGAGGCGCGCGACCAGTAGGGCAACATGGAGGGAAGGCAGTAGCATGAGCAGCAACAACAGCAGTAAGAGCAGCAGAGCGGCTCGGTGAGGCTAGGCTGCAGCACCTCCAGTACTCATAGCAACACCTCCACCACCAGCAG